AGTTTTATCACTTGACTTTCAGGGTTTAGGATGACATGGTCAGGACATCTGACACCGGTACAAGTATCAATCATTCCCCCACAGCACAAAAGCAGCTTCAGGTTCTCCAGGGCAAGAAACATGTAGTCGTGTATCACAGGATAGAAATGACATTTCACCCCATCTTTAGGAATGATTTCACCAAGAAGCTTCTCTAAACAGCACAATACCAATTTAGTGGCAAACCACTAAGATGCTTGGCAGCACAATACATACTGAAAATCCCCTGCAAGATTTTGAAAGACTGCTGGACTTTTTCTCTCTTTCCTTTTCCAGCAGAAAAACCTGTACATTTTTGACTGTGAAGGTAGTTCCAGTGCAGCTGAAACTTCTATATCAAAGCACACAACACTGCCAACAAACCTTTATTGGCTGTGTTATAAACTAATTGTTCTCTGTGTCTGTGAGGAGGATGAAAAGACTATAAATGCAAATAATTTTAGTGTAGTATTGATAGCTCTCTCTCCTTTACCTGTAGTCATAGTGAATCACTCATATCTTTTTAAACTACATCCAGATAACAAGATTATGTTTATTACATCCCAGTTTAGAAAGCTACTCCTTTTTTAAGGGAGGCGTCACAACACTTATCACAGAGGAGACAGCACTTGTCACCAAAGATTGCATAACTGAATCAGAAATATTAATTTATACATTCTTAGTTAAAATGGGTGGGTACTGCAGTAAATCATCTGTTTCCTGCTCTCCGTAGCAACTGAATTAACAGATTTACTCACTCTGTAATACAAAGATCTACCTAAAGACAGAGCAAGGATTAGGGTTAAAGAGAGTACAAGCTTCTGGTTTCAGTCCCAGTTATATTATTAACTGCAGTATCAAGCTGTCTTTTCATCTAGACATTGGTCCGAGCTCCCCTCTGCTTACACCACTAGGAACATATGAAACACAGCAGTTTCCTGATGAGAAGATTACAGAAAAGAATAATGACAATTCCGGGAAAACAACATCCCTCCTATGCTGAAAGCTGCATCAGGCAGGGACCACAGTACTGACCCGTGACTCCAATAGTATGATGAATATTGACTGTGCAAATGAATATCAATCATACAAATAGCAATCATAATATTTAGATTCTGTACTGATATAGCTGCAACACAGTGAGGAAACGTGACTATCAGGAAAGACAAAGAGCTATGCTAAACAGATTATTTCTACTGCTTGATTAAACATAGACATTTGTGATGATGTGAAGATCAATACGTAAGTCTCCAAGAGTTTAATACAGACCTGCGTGTTTATGCAAAACACTAAAGGTCATCGTTGTTTAGTCCAGTGTCAGGCATAGGTTGTGTCAACAGCTATAGAGAAAAAAAGCTAGGAACAGCAAAAGAGAGTAACTGTTGGTCAGTCCTGCCCTAGCCACACATCAGTCACACACTCACCTCATCCTAGGGATGGTGGATGGGTTGCAGCAAAAGTGCAACACTAAGCAGCCCAACACTGCTTAGTTTTTCTTCCCCTGTTTCATTGGCCTCTAAAGTAAAATCCTTGTGAGCCCATTAGCTGTAGATGAAAGATATCTTATGCTCTTAGGAGGAAAGAGAGCTTTCCTTTGTCCCAGTGGGGAAATATGGACAGACTTTAATGGAGAGAAGTATACTGCTAAATGGACAGCCTTTCCCAGAAGTGATGTTTTTCTTCCTTCAACTAAGAGCAGCATCTTTATTTTCTCCTCCCGTGTTGCTGTGAAGCACTGAATAAATTCCAGTTAGTTTGGTTCATTGTTTAATCATAAGATTTCTATTGAGTGTGAAGATGTTTCCGTGAAAATTACACACTGGGGGAGTGGAGTGAGAATTTTTGCTGGGGGATATGTAACACACTGTATGGTTTGTGGAAGGAAAGGTAAAGTATTGGAGGAGAATATGAAAGTCCGGAAGAGTTGGAGTAGCTTAAATAGCAGATCAGTATTTCTTCACATATGATCTAACAGTTGTGAAGAAGGCAAAAATGCAAAATGTTTCACTCTTGCTTTATAATTACTAATGAATAAAACAAAAACAAACAAACAAAAAAACCCCACACCCAAAATATGAAAATAAGTAAAATGGAAGAAAATGTATAAAATAATACTTAATATATGACCACAGAATATAGTCTACTTGTTCTTACAGCTCTAAAGATGAGATATGAATCTAAAGAACCTCCAAAATGCCTTAGATTTTCTAGGTAAATTGTCTGATTTTTTTATTTTATTTTATTTTATTATTTTTGTTTTAAATGGAGAAGAACATATATTCCTGACAGATTTCTAAGATCTGTCTCTCTCTGTCTGGAATTGAAGTTTAAACACAGATTTTAGTGTTTTCTTCAGCAATGTCTGACTCTCTTTTGACTTTGAATGATGCCAAGAAACAATAAGAAAGACAAAAGCAAGAGAATTAACCAGACTTTCTGAAACTCAAGACTAAAGAAAAGGACAGAAATAAAGACTGTAATGTCTGATCTACCTCATTAATGCTGTATTTCTTTCTATAGACAAATCACAAATCATTTAAATAGATTTGTTCTTAATAGAAACATAGACAACATTTCTAAAACACCCCAAACAAAAACTAAAAATTTCTTTAGAAAAGTAAAATAAATTCAGGGCTTTGTTATTCTTAGGAAAAGAAACGGACACAGGCTGATGCATGGTCACTCTATAACTAGCTCATATAGAGTCCTCTGGAGTTAGAGACGTTCCCTGAACAACAGAAATAACCTAGAACTCAGGCAGCTCTGCATTTGAACCATCTCCCTGTGTTATTGTTTTCTGAACAATGACAACTTGAAATACTAGAATACCTTTGAAAATTCATTCCTTACAAGTTCAACAGATGGGTGTAGAAAACTTGCTGTTTTGGAAAACATTCATTTAAATCAATGCTTTGATAAAACATTAGCTTTATAGTGAATCCTCATTTTCCAATGAATATACACAGCATAACATTCCAGACAAGCTCTCTGGCTGTAACACAAACTGCTCTGTTTTCTCTTATGTTTTCATATCCCATAATAAGTTGCAGAAAAGAGAAAAATTACCTGAAGTGGGATGAACACTATTTAATGGTTTTCAAGGAGAACAGATATCTGTAGTTAGGAGAGACAATGCCAGCTGTGTTGGTTTAAAAATTAGGATGATATACTGCTTGGCCCAACTCTCATGATAACACATACAAAAGGTCTGCCATGAAAACGGAGTTGGAATTTCTGGGGTATTTCTGTGTTTATACATGGTACCTACAGGCATATTCATGCATGACACTTTCTTGAACTGAAGCCTTATCAAATATGTCATTTGCCCAATTTAGAACTAAAGATCTGTAGAAAAGTTCTGCCTGAGAATTGAAATTTCCGGTGTGTTGCTTTTTTCCCCAAGACTATGCTTTTGCTTTCCTCCCGTCTCAAACACTCTTTAACATCTGTTGTGCAAAAGGCAGAGGGAGGCATTATTAATCAACCACAAAGTGCATTAAAGAAAACTGTCTAAGCACCCAAATAACTTGTTTATACAAATGATCTGCTCCACTGTAAGCGATGAGGTCAAGAGTCCCATTTGTTGTGGTGTGCCATTTTATTGATGCGGCAGGATGCACTGGCAACTGTAATTTTGTCACGGTCTGCTTTCCATTCTTCCAAAGGATAATCATTCTTGGGCTGTCAGATGCATCGAATATCCCGACGCATGTTGCATGTTTAATAGAGTGCTACCTTGATCATTAATCATGCATGAAGTTAAATTTCTTCTGTCAATACAGTGATTCTGCAAGGACAAGAATGTGTTAGCAGTTTTTATTGAAGAAATGACAACAAAAAAGTAGGTCAGAGTGAGGTTGCTTTAAAGCAGTTTCTTAAAATTAAAATTATACTGACTAGCTAAATTCCATAACATGATTTAACTTTAAAGTATTTCTATACCCTGTTATGTACTAAGTCTCAAGGACTGACTTTTATTTTTCCAAAGTGCATCCCTTTCTCAGAGTGTAATATCACTTCAGGCAGAATAAGGATGATTTTAAACATTATCCCATAACTAGATCATTGGCTATGGCAATAATAAATAAAAAAGAAAAAAAAAAAAAGTTTCCAGAGTCTTGCAGATTTTGAAAAACATTTTAGAAAAGCAACTGTTCTGACAAGGACACTTACAAATCCCCCAAACTTTCAATAGTTATTCAGATTTTTAGATACAATCTAAAATAAAGCAGCATGAAATACATCAAGCATTTCGACTTTACATTCCTGTATTCATCTAGGGTAAGAGTCAAAAAGGTGATGACAAATCAAATAAACTTCAGTAACCTCAAAATTCAACTTAAAGAATTATGGATAATCAGTATTAACACAAAAAGATTTCTGAGGGAAGAGACCTCTTTGATCTAGCAGACAAAAGCATAACGAGATGCTATGGCTGGAAGCTGAAGGTAGATATATTCAGAACAGAAATAAGGAAAACATCTTTAAGGATGAGTGTAATTAACCACTGGAACAATTATACTTAGGAGGACAGTGGATGTTTCATCACCTGACATTTTGGAATCAGTCATTTTCTAAAAGAAACTCATTAGTACACTTACAAATTGTGATGAGCTTGGTACAAGAATCACTCTGATGGGGAGGAAAAAAAAGTAGGTGGATGTGGAGTATCTGTTAGAGCTCTGTTCATAGATAGAGTATCCTGTTACTAATCAAATGTTTTTGGTTTTTTTTTCCCCTTGTATATTCTGCTTATTATAGTGATGAGAACAACAGCTTTTTTTTTTTTTTTTTTCTTTCTTCTTACTCCCTATAATTAATACAGCAACAGAAGAAGGGCTAATTCTATTGACGATATTTCATCATTGGTAGTTAAATTAAGGAGCTGGGGTAAGGGATCTGTAGGAACACTGTTCCGTGACACCAAAAGTAGCAACTGACATTTAGTACTGGTGATGTTGACCCACAAACCTTAGAGGATGTATTTTTTTGTTTCCAGGCGAGAGTAACTAGCTTGTAGGATAGGTTTGGGAGGTAGGGACGTTAGTAAATATGGTAAACGTCATCTGCAGTAATTAAAATTAAAGGCATGTGGATATCATTCCAGCAGAATCACTTTGAAAAATTGGATTTTTTTCTCCAAGAGTGGTTGGTGAAATTCTCTTCCTCTGAAGACCTTCTGATCATCTTTGTGTGGAACATTTGAATAATCTCAGCATGCAACATCTTCATTTGCAGTCTGTGAAGTAATGCACAGAGGAAAATTCACGTGTAACAAATAAAAGACTTATCTTGACATTTATTCTTTCTAACATTCTCTCTACTTTTGCACTGAGATACCGACCAATGCTAAAGAAATCCCAGAGTTTCCATCAAACAAAGGACTATTAAACCCTAGCTGTAGTAGATTTCCTCATGTTCAAGACCATGTGCATTTTCATCAAGGTAGGAAAACATGAACAATTGCTGAATTCAGCTCGTGTATCACAAAAGATAAGCAATACCTTTTGTTTTATTTAGTTACATATCTGCTAAGAGCTTTATATGTCACAGACATATTTTCAGTATTCCTTAAACATGACAAGAAACACCTTAGGACCAAATGTGGAACTGCCTATTTTGGGAAGGATTTTTTGGCTTACCTTATTTTTTTAGTTGCCCCTGTAAATTATTATTGAAGCAGAAGTACATGAGAGGACCACAGGCTTGAACTGCTTTCTCTTTACATATTCCAGTTAATATTTCTTTGAGTGGGAAAAAACTGAGTCTGCTGATCCTAGGGTTGGGCAGGATTAGACTGATGCCTCTATTCTTTGTGCTAGTAAGTGACTTTAATTCACATATTCTATTTATTTTAATAAATTGCATTATTTACTGCACTGACTCAGTATAGGATTTTTAAAATATTGATGCAAGAACCCTTTACATACATACCACTGATGTTTCGCCTTGGACTACTGCCAGGGAATGAGCAGCGTGTGGCTTGAACAATGACGTTGGATTATGCAGTATTTATTGCTTTTCTATTTTATCACTTTGATACAATAGACAGAAGCTTTCATCTGGTAGAAGGTACAATAATGTTTTCTCCACATGATAGCATTACTGACTTAGTAGATTTTTTTTCCCCTAACCCACCCTGTCATGTCTGGTTTTGAATCTTCCTTTATGCATCTACACATCTTCTTTTGTTAATAGAACACAAATATTTCGCTATTTTCTAGATGTCCCACGTTCCGCTAATATTTTAAGAATGTCACATTCCATTTAAGTGTCAGTCTGAAGACATCTAGTGTAATCTCTTCTTCCTATAAGTGCTTTTTTTTTTTTTTTTTTTTTTTTTGTCAGTATAATTCTGACTTGCAAGGAGCCTTTTGCAAACTAACGTTCTTAAGAACACTGTAGATGAAAACAGCTCACCTATGGCATTATAAAGAAATTAAACTGGCAGTGGGTGAATAGCTGGGAAAGTGAGATTATTAGAAAGAAAAAGAAGTAATCTAACTACAGTGCAGCAGTCTAAAAGCTCGTAGCTGAAATGTAGGATAATGAATTAAAAACCTATTTCTTCTAAATCAGTTAAACCCTAGTTAGAGCTACCAGACTGATAGTTCTGAAGAAGTTGTCTGTGAAAATGATGCAAGGACTGGAAAAGTGCAAGTTTTTCCTCCAACACTGGGCATTTGATCTGGCCTAGGAAGGTTTTAGTAAGGGCAAAGTATGCAGCTAGTTTTCTACACTCAGTCTTTCTCTTGGTAATTTGGATCTATCAGACATTGATCAGGAACGATCAATTAATTTCATATAAAGTCACCTTCAACTTGTAATTGGTGATAGCTATTTGCATCCCACTGCACAGATTCCTGTCTCCTAGAGAATGATGAATCTTGGACCAGGTACACAGACATAGGAACAAACTGAAAAACAACAACAATAATAATATGTGACGTTATCTTGGAGAAGCTTTGGGTAACAGTTTCTCAGTGTGATAAAGATGTGTCCAGATTATGTTAGAAAACCACAGTTTTAACTTTACCTATTAATTTTATTTACCAGGCTTGTGTTAAGATATTTAAAAGGAATCTACTGATGACAACACCTTAAGTTTTAACATTTCACCATAAAAATGCCTAATAGACAAAATAACTTTCTGTCTATGAAAAACAGGAGCATAATAAAACACTGTTAATAATCAAGAGGGTACCTATATTTTTACAGTTTGTGAAAAAAAAAAAAAAAAAAAAGCGAGTCATTATTTAACAAGACCAAATTCGCCACTGTGAATACTGCATGCAGAAACTGCAAATACATTTTTACAAAATTTTCTGGAAAATAACATTCAGCCTTTCTGGAATGTGTTTTGTATTTTCACCTGACCCATCTATTGAAGTTGATAGAAATACTATTTTGGGAATAGTATTATTCATACACATCCTATCCAAAACAGTAAAAGGAAGAGGAGGTATTAAAGGGTTGATAGAAATAAACTGCAAATTTGCAGGAAGATGTTGAACAAAGCAAGCTTTTAAGAGTGGAATTAGGAGAAATTCTGTGCATGTTTAAAGACTGTGGACAGAAAGTCGATATTGAAAAATAGAAAAGATTTGAAATTAATTAAATAGTAGTAAAAATAATTAGATTTTCACAGGTATCTTGTGATTTTTGGTACCAAACTAAGATGCTCTCAGGGATGGAGAGAGACAGGTCCTTTTGTCTCCAGGTGCACTGATCCTTTCCAGTGTAATTTAAACCATCTTAACGCTGACAATCTGAGTATGCATACTGGAAACATTTCAATCAGCAATGGATAGACCAATAATTTCTTAACATAAGACCTAAAAAACCCAGGTTTTTATTTTTTTCAACATCCTGGAGCATATCTCTGTACAATCGATTATTTTATTGCCAAAAGCATAAAAGAGAAAAGCTGAGGAAACATATATATAAAGCTAAAATCTTGCTCCTACCTCCAGGAAACTAAATTCTCTCCAACAACATGTTTACTATCGTTTTATTCTAGAACACTGACCTAACTGACATGAATATTCAACCTATATAGTAGACGTTACTGTATTCATTCTATTCACAGTCATCTTCTTTCTACCCTTCTGACCCTAGGAGCAGATGAACCAACATGCAGTATGAACTGAGATAAAAGTATTTTTTTCTTTAAATTTACCCTATATCTTTCTACAGAAAGCAAGAAGGATTCCTTAGATATTTTCTAACTATCACAAGCAGATAAGTAACAAAGTCCAGATAGCTAACAATGTCTTTGCTACATGAAAGAAACGCGATTCCATGAGAATGTAATAAACATATGTAATAAATTATGCAGCAAAAGGCCAGAACCAAAATTCATGGCTCAGGCCTTAGCAAGATACTTATTTTATAAATCTTAAAGCTAATGGCTTCTTTATTTTTATTTGAATTATAAAAAGAACAATAATCTTTCTGTGAGAAATGGCATAACCCAGCAGTTTGTAAATATCCATTAATGGAATTATAAGTTCATTTTTATTTGTTCTGGTTTATTCCTTTCTCTATTTTGGTAGGAAAGGAATCAATTTAACAATGCAAATTAATTCTACACTTACATAAAATCATTCACCAATATTATTTTTAATCCTAGAATTAAATAGATTTTGCAGTTAGGAATTGCGGGAAGTGTATTTCTGCATGTAAATAGGTACTGTATAAATTATTGACCAAAATAATTATTCAAAATAATTAAAAAAAACCACAAATTGACACTAGAAGGTCTACACAGAAGAAATGTTTGATACCTCCTACCCTTGTATAACTTTCATCTCCATGAAGTAGTTCAAGATAATTGCTCTTCATTTTACAAGTGGAGTCATTTATTACAGATAGAAGAACAAAAACAACTAGAAAAATAAATATCTATCATCCAAATAAAACAAGTCAAGGTTTGCCCTTTTGACTGACTTTTTGGTTTCTTCCTAGCCATTAAGTGTTTTTTTTTGTAGTCAGTAGTCTGCAGACTTTATCACAGGGGCCACTTTTTGCCTATTAGCCATTGGGAAGAGAGGACCGGTAACAGTACATACCCTACATGACGTCCTGGGACATCGCAAGGGCTGATCTGGGCAGGCAACTGGGAGCTGAGGCTCCCTCCTTGGTCTCCAGGTTAGATAAGCCCAATAAGAGGAGGAACTGGGAATCGAGGCATACATTTTTAAGGTTACAGTCAAATAAAGGAGAAAAAGAATGTGAACAAAATATGACTTCTCAGTGATATTTCTGAAGGGAAATTAAAAATAACACCTCCAAACAGTCCACTGTACAGTGTCAGGTTCGTTTGGTACAGAAACAATTATAAAGTCTTTTTAAAAATGTGAATAATTGTTTTGGGTTAACCTTGGTAGGTAGTTCAATTGAAATTATTATATGAAATTATAATTATATGAAATTATAATTTGAAATGTATCTATTTAGAAACAATTCATGTTCTACGTAAAATAAGAGGAGTTTAAAGTCTACAGGCATGGACTGATGCATTGGACATATCTTAGCTTGTGGCATTCACAAATTTATTCATAAAGTTTTCTTCTGACCTGAAATCTTTTCCCCTTTCATTTTGTTGTTAGTGAGTCTGTTTTGTTCCTCTAATTAAAGCAATGTAGTGGAACCATAAGAAAAAATCCTTACTATTTCACATTCTATGCTGCAGTCCTATTTGTCTTTACTTATAAAAACATATATGTGTAACATAAGTTCAAAAGTATATTTATTCAAACTCCTGTACCCACGGTGGTGTAAAGGCACGAGAGTCAGGACTACCACTTTTTCTTCAGGAAGGACAGGAAGAAACATCCTCCCGTCATCACACATGTGGTCAGCCAAGACATGTCTCCTTGCAACAAGAATGTCTAAAGTGCATAAAAATTAAAGTGCCACTAACTTGGAACAGTTTTCCTAACAATTAAGAATGTGTTCGCCAAAAAGTATTAAGAAACTAAGACCTCAGTTTCTGGTACCCAAAGCCTATTACATACATTGCTATGGTTTATTGACTGGAGTCATGTCATTGATTTTGAGTTCTCTTGTGGTACTGTGGGATGAATCTGAAAAAAAAAAACCAAACAAAAAAAACCCAAAAAACAAACAAACAACCAAACCAAAAAAACAAAACAAAAAAAAACAATATAGCTTGGGTTAAATAAAAAAGTACGGGGGACATTGGAATATGATACCATACTTAAAGCAATCTCTACC